AGAGAGAGAGAGAGAGAGAGAGAGGGAGTGAGAGAGAGAGAGAGAGAAGAGGAGACAAAGGTAAAGTGAAGATAAAGGAATCGTAGAGAGTAGACAGCCCCATTTGATGCATCTCTTTCTCTTCCTTTGTTGCTCTTTTATTGTTTTGGCTTTATTATTACTCTCTTCTTCCTTCTTCCTTTTTCAAAATACCACCCCCAACAATGTCTCTTTGTTTTTAGATAGTATCATCATAGTTTATGTTAAAAAGCTTGTTCCTTTGATTCTTTAAACACCATTATTACAACTTCAATCATTCACTTCTACTACACAGCTGTGTTTGATTTTGATCCTTTTTACACATATTCTTTAGTTTACAGATTTCTGATTTCTAGGGTTTCTCTTGTTTCTTTCTTTCCCCAAATTTCTATAATTGACTTGGTTCTTCTCTCTGTTTAGGCCTATCTTAGATTGTAGCTTTCTGGGTTCTCTTTAAATGTGTTAAAGGTGAAAGCTTTAAGCTTTTGTGTCTTCTATCTCGGGGTTTATTAGCAATGGCTGAGATCAAGATTGCTAAAGTAGAACCAGGGCAAACGAAGATTAGGAATGTTCCTGTAGCTGTTACTCCTGAAGGTTTCTGGTGTTGTCCTTCTCCTGTTGCGTTTCAGAAGACTCTTAAATCTCACCACTCTCTCAATAAGCAGAAACCGTCTTCTCCTCCTCCTCCTCAACTCCCTAAACCGGAGAAGAAACCATCCTCGACCACCATTAGATCCGTCATCGCCTCCGATGAGATTCAACAGAATTCGGCTAATTCTGATACCCTTCATAGTATTGCTGTTCCGGCGACGGTTCAGGAGAGACCACAGAGGCAAAAGGTTGAGACTTTACCGAGGAAAGTGGCGATTGAGTTTGGTGAACCAGGAAGTAGTGATGCTAAAGTCATTTTGGTTGGGAAGCAAGGTTTTTGTGTGAAGCTGAGTGTTCATAAGAAAGTTTTGGTTGATCATAGTAGTTTCTTTGCTAAGAAACTAGCTGAGAAAAATTCGGTTTTTGCTTGTCTTGAGATTGAGAGCTGTGAAGATGCTGAGATTTACGTTGAGACCATTGGGCTTATGTATTGTAAAGATATGAAGCAACGGCTGATGAAACAGAATGTAAGCAGAGTCCTTCGTGTCCTCAAGGTATTGCAGCTAAATCCCTCTATTAGATTTTGGTCGTATGTAGATCGTTTTGGTGTTGATGTTCATAGAAATGACTGTCTCAATTTGGTAACTTTAGAGCTTTAAGGGAGTTTCTAAGAACTTAGTTTGTTATTACAGGTCGCAGAACTTCTTGGTTTCAGTACATGTATTCAATCTTGTTTAGATTACTTAGAAGCTGTGCCGTGGGTTGGGGAAGAAGAAGAGGAGAAAGTTATCTCATCTATTCTTAGATTAAAAACTGAAGGAGTTGGCGTCACGCCTGTGCTGAAAAGAGTTGCTTCTAATGCTGTGGATCCACCAAAAGAAACACTCTCGCGCATCATTGAGCTTGTTTTAAGAAGCAAAGAGGAAAAAAGTCGACGTGAGATGAAATCTATTGTCCTGAAGCTTCTCAGAGAACAGAATGGGGCCAATGTAGCTGATAACTTCAACGAAACAATCTATTCATCTTGCCAAAACTGCTTAGACTCGGTTTTGTCTCTGTTTAGACAAGCTTGTGAGGGAGAAAAACCTGAGACTGATACCAAACAGATAGCGGTAGAAGCGGATAACCTCACGTGGCTGCTTGATGTATTAGCGGAAAGACAAGCTGCAGAGGAATTCTCAATCACATGGGCAAACCAAAAGGAGCTCGCCTTGTTACACGAGAAGCTTCCTTTAATGTCTCGTTACCACATAAGCCGTGTAACATCTAGGCTCTTCATAGGGATTGGGAGAGGAGAATTGTTGCCTTCAAAAGACACTCGTCTTTTGCTGTTGACCACATGGTTGCAACCGTTGTTCAATGACTATAACTGGCTTCAACATGGTTGCAGATCGTTTGATGGTAAACTAGTGGAGGAAGGAATAGGTCGAACGATACTGACATTGCCGTTGGAAGATCAGCAAAGCATCTTGCTTTCGTGGCTCGGGAGTTTTCTAAACGGAGGAGATGGATGTCCAAATCTTCAGAGAGCTTTCGAGGTTTGGTGGAGACGGTCTTTCATTAGACCGTACTCAGATCGTCAAGCTAATGGTTCATGTCATACAGACTCAACTTCAAAAGAGTGACTATAAAAAAAGCTGAGTAATCTCTTTGTTAGATTGTACAGTGCATAATGTAGCTATGGAATGTGTTGGTTTTTGCTGATCTTGATTTCCAGTTTGGTTTTGCTTGGTTTCGATCTTACCATGGAGAGGCAATGTGTTTCAGGCTTTTAGTGGTCGATCTTGTTTCTTGATGTTTTGTAATTTCTTCAGTTTTCATAATGACGGATGTATATTTCTGATTCGAATTGTATACCATATATATAAATGCTTTTTTGGTTTGAAGTTTGAACTATTGATGTGTTATACCATAACTTGAAAAAGAAGAATTGTCTTAAAATCGTATCAAAAAAGAAGATTTGTCTTTACATCGTATAAAAAAAAAGAAGATGAGATTAAAACTAAGCTAAGGAAAAGATTAAAACTAAGCTAAGGAAACTTACTTCTGAAGTTGGAAAACAACTTACTGATCTTGTATGTAACACCTTGACGACGCTCTGGTTTGCCTAGCTTGAAGCTCTCGAGATATATCCGACGGCTTCGTTTGTATTCGGTTTCTTCAGAAGAGAAGCACATTGAGTGAGAACCAGACCCTGTTTCCTTCAAACCGGTCGATTTAGTTTTCGGGTTCTCTTCTTCATCCCACGCAGTTAGGAAAACTAGGTTTGAAGATGTTCTCTCCATTCTCTTATGTATTTCTCAATGTAAGAGATTTTAGTTTCAGTTTTACTTTCTCTTAGGTTTAAGTTTTCAACGTAAGAGGAGATTATGGATTGATGTGTATGTATATATAGTGAGAGTCGGCATATTTGAGATTTTTCCAAATACGATTAGGACTAGTAAATAATTAGATATTAAATTTCAATTTCTTTCATCAAAAAGGAAAAAAAATCAAACTATGTTAGTTGTATCTAAGTTTAATAAATAAAGGAAATACACTTTAACAACAACAAAAAAAGGAAAATAAATAATTTTATAATATAGAACAGTATACATATATACCAAACATTGTGTTATCAATGTTTTGGTACTTTGGCCAATGGGTGACTTTGTGGATCACTACGCAGTTCTAGGGCTACCTCCTTATGGAGAAGATGGTGGTGGTGTGAAGATCAGCGAGGAGCAGATTCGAAAAGCGTATCATTGCAAGGCATTGATATCACACCCTGATAAAAACCCTGATGACCCTAACGCTAATGAGAAATTTCGTGAGCTAAAGAACTCTTATGATATTCTCATTGATCCCGAATCTAAAGAAGTGTTTGATAATCTTCTCAGGGCTAAGTTTGAGAAGCGAAAACATAAGAGAATGTCTCGTGAGGATGAGGAGTTTTGGAACAACGTTTCGGAAAAACAGAACGAACAACAAAAACCTAAGAGAACCAAAGGGGATCCCGAGTTCTGGAAGAAGGTTTTAGAAGAAGAAGAGGAAGAACAAGATACGGATGAGTCGTCTGATGATTGCGATAGTCATGAGAAGGAAACACTTCGGAATCTTTATAAGCAGGTGAAGGAGATACGTAATGCACACGCAAAGAGACGTGATGATCTTAAAAGATTTGGTAATGATATACCAAAGGCTAAACCTAGATTTTTATTTCGAAGTAAATTTTCAATGGATGGGTTCGTGTCATACGAAAGGAGAGTGTTACGTCGAGTGCAAGAGGCTGCGGAGAATTGTAAACGATCTTCTTTCTCACAACCAGGATTCGTCTGATTTGTAAGTGTTTTTGGTAATTTCTCTTTCTCATCACAATAACTTGATTTATTTTCTTGGACTATATATTATATGATCGTTGATATTTTTCTTTACATGTGATACATTGCCATTAGGTTGATTTGCTCAATTAGAAGAGAGGAAACAAGCTCTGTTTGGATGGATTACGCGACCACTCACTCGTAATTTGGCATTCGAGAAAGAGGTTTGATCATTTATTCCAATTTTTTTTTTAATGTTTTCGTCTAAATTATTTGCTTTGCTTGTTTGTTTGTTTTTTTTTTAACAGGAAAGCGGCAGGGGACAGAAAAATATTGGGACAACTATTACCAAAAGTCTAAATTTTATATAGCAAAAACAAAATATATTAAAAAGTAGGATAACAGTTTAAAACACTAGGTTCTAATTCTAAACTTCTAATTCTGAACCGGTTAGACATAAAACCAAAAATCCTAAAATCTAAAAAATAAATTCTAAACTCGAAGGTATCAAATCTCAAACTCTTAAATAAAATGAAATTTCAACCTGATTTTTGGATGAATTTGTTTAATTAATCAAAAAGTGGCTAGATAAAAAAAACTTATATGATTTTTTTTTTTTTAAAGACTATGATGGACCTCATGGACCAACATGCGTTTGAAGCCCAATTCAATAGTTTTCCCAACTTTTTTGGTATTTTTGGTCTATGATGGACCTCATCGGACAGTAATGTATTTCCTTGTTGTCATATGATAACTCGTACCATATACTCGGATGCTCAATTCAAACCAAAACAAGATAAAGAAAGGAAAAGTGAAGAACAAAACATATGGCGAATGTTCAGCAGAATCAATACTCCAACTTTCAATGGTGTGTGTCTTTGCATCGATCAAAAAGTATTAGTGGGCATACGTACACATATAAAGAATAATTTTATAGTTTATTTAACTCGGTCATTGAGATGAATCAAGCTTTAAATATTCACCATTCATAAAATCATTCCATTACAACTAAATTTCACCACAATTTCAATAGTTTCACTTCAAAGTTCAAGCATAATCCCTATATTCAAAACTCACACAAATAGTTTCACTTCGGCATGTAGTAGGGTAATTATAAATAATAATAGAAATGAAACATAACTAAACCGTCATCATTTGACGAAACTCATGAAAGTCAAGAACTCCATTACCATCAATATCGTAAAACTTTATCATGGCTTCACACTCACCGTACGTTCTTGATTCCCCCAACTTCACAAGCATCTTTTGCAAACCCTTTGGAGTTATGCATCCTGATCCTTTCTCCACCTCGAACATCTCAAATGCTGTCTTCAACTCTCCACTACCGTCACCGTCAAGATCTCTTCTTGTCATCAACCCAACGAAATCTTCGAACCCTAGAGACCCGTCTGCGTCGGTGTCGACTTCGTTTATCGCCTCTTGAGCTGCCTCGTGAGTTATATACTCACCAACGGATCCGAAGAAGTCTCTTAGCTCATAGGCTGAGATCTTACCGTCACCGTTGCTGTCGAAATGGCTGAAGACTCGACGGAGCTCTTTGTCCGAGGAGTGGTGAGTACTCTTTGTGTTGTTGTTGTCATCGGTGTTGCTTCTTGGGGAGTTTAAGGTTGAGGAAGAGTTGGATTTTGGTGATCCTCGTCGGTTTTGGAAACTAAGGTTTAACTTTAAGGTTTTAGTGGAAAACCATTTGAAAGAATTGGAGGAAGGTTTCTCTTGTTGATTTGCCATGTTGAATCTTTGAGAGTAAGAGTATATGATGTGGTGTGTTATTCTACTTACTCTTTAACTCACCTCTATATATAACATCATAGACTGACTCAGCATGTTGATAAATTCTAAAATGCATATAATAATATAAATACGTTATCTAGGAAAGTTAATTTGTTTTTTTTTGTGACCATCGTTTTCATTTTTTGATTTAATTATTCATGTTTTTTTTTTGGACAATTACTCTATTATATTATCTAGAATTAAGAGTTAATATTTATACTCTTTAGAAAACAGAACTACACTATTGACATTTGGTTTATTCATTACGGATTGAAAAATATAGCTAACGTCTACAAAAAAAAAAGTATTTCAAATAGTTTGAATTAGAGGAGCATTTGATATTGAACTTGTTATGTATGTCTACAATTTGGCTTGTTGAAGGAAGAAACAAAAAAAAAATCACAATTGAATATCGAAAAAAACAAAAAGAAGAAAGAGATATATTAGTAAGAAGACAATAGATACATATCATTTTCCGAGAAAATCCAAGGGAACAAGAAAGAGGTCCATGTTTTTTTCCTCCAAGGGGAATTTCGAAGAAGGTGCTTTAAGATATGTGTTGATGGTTATTGACAAAAAAAAGAAAGATATGTGTTGATGGCATAGGCTCAGAGATTAAATGATTAGATATGTAAAAGACAAAAAAAACTCTAGTATATGAAATTTCATCGCAGCTTCCTTAGTGAATTATTAATTATTTTTAAATGACCCATTTCTATGTAATTCGATTGACTCTTCTTACATTCTAAGTAATCAATCATTTAGCTTTTAGGTGTGCACACTACACACATTGCTAATTGTGAGATATGTCCACCAAATTAGTTTGATGCATTCTTGTTTTATACTTCTGATGATATCTCAAGGTACAACTAGATTTTACTCCTCTGCAGAGAGCCACACGAAACAAGCTGTCTTCCTAAATTTTTGGTCGACAAAATTGGCCTCATCACTATTTTTATTCTCGCAAGTTTACACCACAAACAAATTTAACTCTTTGCTTGATGTGTAGTGTTATTGTTTTTTATAGGTAATGAAAGGATAGTATACCTAACTGCAAGGTAGAAACAAACAAAAACCAAAATAAAATGTTTAGACTTTGTTTTTTTTTTTTTGGGTACGAATTGTTTAGACTTGTTAAAAAAACGCTTGGGACTGAAGCATTTAATTTATTTGTATACTAGCAGTTAATCCGCGCTGCGCGCAGGAGGTTTATAATTTTTTGTTAATTTTTTATTCATATTGTGATATTTTATTTATTTTTAATTGATTTTCAAAACATATTATATTTATTTTCTCTTAAATTATTATCTTTCAATATTTAAATTTGGATTAAAAGCATTTTCTTTTTGATCATGTTATAAACTAATATTTCACTTTCAATTTTATTTTTCCCCTTTAAAATTTTATATATACAATTACATAAAATTTTTTTATTGCACCATAAATTTAAAATTTACTTACATTCTTAAACTCAGTAACACATTTAAAATTTTAAACTATGATCAATTTAAAATGAAAGTTGAATTATAGTATTACCACTAACTAATAAAAAATGAAAGTATTTCTTATTTAACATTTCATTTATTTACATAATTTATTTTTATTTATTTAAATTTCTATTAATTAAATAAGTAGCATAAATATGCACAAAATGAATGTTTTAAATTTATTTTAATGTAAAAAATAATGTGGCTTAGGTGGATGTTTAGGTGGCATCATGAGAAGAGAGAAAAATCTAACTTTATATATATAGATAGATAATACAAAAATATTATAAAATCAAAAATAACTTAAACAGTTCACAATTGACAACACCAAATGTCCATTATTAGGCCCAACATTATGGAGTCATAAGAGGACCCATTTGAAACTGTTACAAGCCTCATTTCTCTCTTACGAGCATCACCCATGTCATGTGGGTGTGGCCATGTAAAGTCTAAACTAAACATGTATAGAAGTTTGTCGAAGTTTCGCATTGTAATATGAATTTGTTAGTTGAATAGATTGCGATAATTTCTTTAGCACATTGACACACACTGACACACACACACGAAAAAGCAAGAGTTTGATACGTTTTTGAATTGTTTTTATCACTTTACAATGTATTTCAAAGTTGATTAATTGATTTGAAATTTTCAAGTTTATCAATGTAATAAGGTTAAGAGTAGTAGACTAGTCGTAAGTACTAAGTAAGGCATTCGTCGGAACAAAGAATGAGCAAAAACCTATACCACTGAATTTTTTATTGCTCTAATAAGGATGGATAAGTTCATGGGTGATGGGCCTATAGTTGAGTTGTGGGCTTTGTACTTTCACATCCTCTCACGTATGCCGAAGCTTGGGCACTCAGAAAACGTGCGTTTCATTGAGCGTAAAATACTTGGCAGTGGTATACGTAAAATACTTGGCAGTGGTATACGAAAACTATGGGACAAAATAATCGTCGGTCCGATTTTGACCCAAAAAAAAAGAATAGTGCGAAATAAACTTCATCTGCCAAATTTTGTTTGCCAGCCGATTAGTATCATTCTATCATGAGAGTTGGTTAGGCTGATCTTTGGCATATTGTCCACCGGCCTAATAAGTCATGGATCGTATATAATATTCAAACTTGACTTTATAAAGCGTTTTAGTAATGTATATATTTTTACATTTTATAACGAAAAGTCTTTAGAATACACTCGAATCCATTGAACTAGAAGGCAACAGCCTTCTCTTTAATCGCACTTGAGTTCGATGGATCAAAGAGAAGGTTTGCAGAGAATGCTTGATTTGGAAGTTTTTCAGCTTTCATGTCATTTTGACAGATGATTTATAGAGAATACTCATTTGGGATGATTTGGATATTATTTTGGTAATTTAAACAAAAAAATTTGGTCTTCTAAGCATTATTTTGGTATTCGTCTTGTGTAAGTGTAAGTTGGGTATTAAAAAATCATTTTTCGATGTCTAATACTATACCTTTATATAATATACTAATATAGTACTATAATCCTTAAGTTGACCTAGCGAAAGAATCTAAATAACATGCATGTTCATTGGTATACTACACTATATATTAATCCGTCGAGATCCAGACGTAATCCCCATTGAGTTGACCCACACGCATCATCTTTTCACATTCGCGAAAATTTTACGTAAACATATATAGTGTAGTTAGCATGTGCTTATTCAATCATTCAATTGTTTTAAAAAATCTTACAATCGGACATCTATATGATATAGATTGACGTATATATTTATATATAAGATATGTTCATAAATCAAGTAGAAATCATAGTATGTGTATAAATTGGTAATATACAAAATGTACTCTAGTCTACGTGAGTTCTATTCACAACGACCTATATAATAAGTAAGTCTACGTGAGTTCTGTTTACCCGAATTAGTCGATTCAAACCTAAGATTCCTTTATACATTATTGGGTGTTACAGAAATAGAACACATATATAGACTAAGACTTGTACTCTTGTAGTTGCTTCCTTGTTTAATCAAGTAGTCGACAACGCGCTGACTTGTTGACTTTTTATGTGTTGTAATTAACAACAAGACAACCTCGTTATACACTTGGCCGGCGAGTTTATTTCATTTACGCAAGCAAAAAAACAACCAAATTACTGGATATTATTTGTACTACATGAATATTAAGTACAATGATCAAATCAGCTATTATGGTATCATTGAATAGACAGCTCAAAATCGACCAAAGAAACTGCAACCACCATGAAAATATCGTCATAAGAATCAATATCTGCCAAAATCATATTGAATAATTGTACCAAAATTTGTTTCTGTATGACTTATATTTTTTAAAACACATAAGTCATATTAAGTAATTAATTAGTATTAACTATCAAAATCTCATTTCACACGACGATTACACAGTGTAACAGTACGTATGATGTCATTAGATTATCGAAGATGAATCATTTACAACTTAAAGAAGGATCATTTTAAAACGTTTGATCCTTTAAAGAAGAAATCTCATTACGATCGTCAAATTTGTCCGTTAAAATGAACTTTAAACGTACGACGCAACATTTAAGAGATTATTTTTAAAACATTTGAACAAAACATCATTCTAACTTTGTTTTAATGATTCTTTTCGTTAACAAACTTAATCATGATGCTTCTAACTTTGTTAACATCTACTAAGTTGTTTATTCAACGTATACAAATATAAACATGACGACAAGTCTAAGTTCTAATTAAGCCAAGTATGTTATGAAATTCCCATACTAAAATCAATGGAAGATGGTATATGTGAAGTCACTCGGTAAAAACAAAAAGCTTTATTCGAAAATTCGTTACCAGAAACAGTATATGTATTTGTTATTACATCCTTTTGGACTCGCCGTAGTACATCCGGTAGAGATATACATATATTTATATTCACAATTATGATTACCTTATAGTTTATAGGTATCGAATTTATTATGCTACAAGTAGGCAATACGTTACGAGAGTAATTACCATCACCAAACTTAATTACATATTCGACTATCCTATTCCTATTCCTATCATTTTTATTATTCAAGTATTGTTTTCATCTACCTATATTTTACATACTCAGTCAAAAATATATATCTTGTTTTAACCGACAAAAAAAATTATAATTAACTCTCGATGAGGTCGAACCGTGGCTCTAACAAATCATACGGAACCCAAAGTGCATCGAGCGGGCAAGGTCGACCATCGTCTAACCTTACCCAAGGCTTCCCTTTCCCACTCCAATGCAACAAACTCACCGGACCTGGATGCAAATCACGGCACAGTCCTCTGAAATTATCTCCTCCTAAACCGTGTTGGTTCCACCGGTGATCCACCGGAGCTATGTTCCCCGCGAAGACTAGTAAAAACGGTGGCAAAGAGCCTAGCTCGTAGATTCTGATCCTTTTCTGTAACTCCATCCACTCTATGATCTTCCTAGTGTAATCTCCTTCACGCCATTTCTTTAACTCGATGACCATCACTCCGGTGTTGAAGTAACACGGTGGACGACGGCGGTTGAGGGAGAGTGTTATTGATAGAGATGGGTTTGACCAGAACGTCGGGGTAAAGTAAGTGGTGAAGTTCGCGTTGCAATACTCAGGCGCGGCAAGAACGACGTCGTCAGGGATACGAGTTGAGAAGAGCTTGGAGATGTCGTCGACGAGTATGAGATCCGAGTCGAGGTAAACGACACGTGAGAGGCACGTGGGGAGTATGTCGGCGAGGTAGTTTCTCGCGTAGTTTAGCGGAGAGTCTAACGCGGAGCGTATGGAGGTAGAGATGAGGCCGGAGATGGCGGCCACGTCGTAAGGGTAAATCCGGAATTTCAAGTAAGGGAAAGAGGAAACGACGTAGTTTTGGAGTCGGTGGGTTTGTTTCGAAGTGACGAAGTGGAACACAATGTTTTGAGGACAAGAAGAGTGTTGGAGAACGGAGAGAATCACGGCCATTGAGCCACGGAGGTAAGCCGCGTCTAAGGTCATTGCCACGTGGATGGCTTTGTCCGAACAAACGAAGTCGTAGTCGTTTTCGATGGTGAGACACTCCGGGGAGTTGAAGAACTCCGGAGCTTCTTTGAACCTCTCGCCGCCAGCGTATGTGACGGTGAAGACGGCGAGGATGGTGAGATATAATAAAGAGTACCTCGAGTGCATATTTCTCTTTTGTGTGTTAGAGAGATATTAGAGAAATGTAAGATGCAAATGTTTGTATTTATTAGCTTTGAGAAAGAGAGGAGACAAAGACAAAGGAGAGAAGTTTCTTTACTCTTTAGGAGAAAAAAAATTGTGAGTGAGTTTGAAATGAAAAGTGGGTAACGAACGAAAAAGTCAATGTTATTGAATGGGAAATTTGTCGGCGAGATATTATTCGTTTATTTTAGGAAATTTATTTTATAATGTTTTTGATTTTTGGTTCCTCGAGATTTCAGTTTTGGCGTGTTGTCCCCCTAAGAAGGAAAAAAAAGATATATGTATTTATATGAGTTAAGGTTTAAAGTCTGATCTATGGGTAACTCGCAAAATCTATCAAATGTTGTTTTTTTTGGACCGATTCAGTCTTCATTTACCACAATCATCATTCTTAAACAGTCAGTATTAACTCCTCTTTTGGATCATTCTCTCCCACGCCTTAATGTATAAACTATAAAGCCATGAAGGTTCAGTTTATTTTACGTTGTGCACATGGCCACATGGGTTATAATTTTTATAAAAATTATATATTGTTGATATAAATGTTCAAACCTTCCATAATTGTATGTAAATATGTATGTTAAGTAGTAATTTGTCTCCTCAGTGAAGATATATAGATACATATATGATCTACGCGAGTAAAATAGAGAAGAATTAAGATCGCTATGTTATGTATGCAGATCATATGAGGGAGTGATCAGTGAGTGTGTTGTTCCTCTTGTTAGTGAAGTTGTTGTCTATGTTTGTACGTGACACATTTCGAGTGGTCGTATTAGCACTATCACATTTAATATGTGATGCCTTACGTGTTAAAGCTTTAATAAATTATAAGTAGGACTCACTCTTCTTTTAATATTAACACTTTATCAATCATATCAAATCTCCCTTTTTCTCTCCCCGTGAATTATTCAAATTTTTTACCTTTTGAAAACTTTACAAAAACGTTCTTTTTTTTTTGCGATGCAATATACGTTTTACATGCATAATCATGCACAATCTTCTCTTCTCTTCTCTCCTTTTTTTTTCTTTCTCTAATTTAACATTGTCTCCGGCAAGGTAAATGAATATGCAAACAAGTAATATTCTGCTTTGGCATGCACTTCCAAGCTATACCTTTAATACAAACTTGTTAGTTACAAAAATAAAGCTAAGTTTTAGTATTTGTTATTGTCTGAAAACTCGGAAGTTAATTAAAAGCGATGAACTGATTTTACGGTCCGTTCGAGCCGGGAATTAATAGGAGGAAGTTGGGAACACATGCTTAGGATTTGCCACGTACCATTTGTATCATAGGTCTAGTTGAGTGCCACCTGACCTACCACCCATTTGTTGAGTTAAGCTTGAAGAAGACGAAAACTTGAAGGACAAGTTATTATAATCCTACCGAGATATGGATTAGGGTTAATGGTTTTATGGTTTTATAAAGTCCTATTTGGATTAGGACTTAGGTGGTTTTGGTTTTATATAAATAGAGAAGTCGAGTTATGACTTTAGTGTGTGAGATTGAGAGATTTGTGAGAGCTTTAGTTTTGAGTTATTTTCTAAAGCAATAAAAGAAAGGTGTCTTTTATATATTCTTGATCTCTTGTTCTTAAGGTTTCTAAAACAATATTTGGTAGCAGAGCAAAATCATATTGTTTAGACCATGGCTGAGATAGTGGCTGCCCAGCCAAAGCCAAAGGAGAGTGGATCTTCTTCCATACAATGTCCAATGCTTACTAGTACCAACTATGCGGTTTGGTCTATTCGTATGGAGCTCCTACTTAAGGTCCACAAAGTTTGGGAATCGATTGACCCCGGAGACGAAGACGAGGATAAGAACAATATGGCGCGAGCACTGCTTCTCCCCAAAGGTAGTTAGGTACACTCATGTACTTTAGGATGCTTCTAGTCATTTCCATAAGCGTTCGATTTCTTCTCTCTACGACTCCATTTTGCTGCGGTGAGTATGGTGCGGTTAGGTGTCGTTGTATGCCATTACTTTCACAAAAGCTTTGAAATTCTTGGGAAGTAAACTCTTATGGAAATGACTAGAAGCATCCTAAAGTACATGAGTGTACCTAACTACCTTTGGGGAGAAGCAGTGAGACATTTTACCTATGTCATAAACAGAGTAGCAACAAGAGTGCTGAAGACACAAACCCCATATGAGGTATACAAAGGAAGAAAACCGAATATTGAGCATCTCCGCGTATTTGGGTGTCTTGGCTATGCAAAGGTGGAAGCTCCTCACTTAAGAAAGTTAGATGATCGATCCAGAAAATTAGTACACCTCGGAACTGAACCAGGGTCAAAAGCGTATCGACTACTAGACCCAACAACAAAGAAGATAACGGTGAGTCGTGACGTTGTTTTTGACGAGAGTAGGAGCTGGAGGTGGAACAATCTCGAGAAAGATTCTGAACCCAAACCAGGGATGTTCACAGTTAACTTCGAAGATTATGGAAACAAAGGCATAAAAGAAGACCTTGTTCTTGTCAACAACGAAGAAAGAAGAGATGAGGATGCTCTTAGTGAAAACAGTAACAGGGAGGAGAGTGATGATCAAGAAACAGAGACTGAAGACAATGACATACCTGTCCCGTTAAGAAGATCAACAAGACAGATCACGATGCCAAAACACTTAGAAGACTATGTTCTAATGGCTCAGATTGAGTGTGAAAAGCTTCTGTTGGCTGTAAACCAAGAACCTTGGAATTATGATGAAGCAAAAAATTTAAAGGAGTGGAGAGATGCATGCCAAGAGGAGATCAATTCAATCAAC